GCATATTAAGTGTGAAGAATCTAATAAAAGTTTTAACAGTTACTATGATGTGACACATCATGTGACTGTTGATGAGAAAGATATTAAGTGTGAAGAGTTTGATGAAAGTTTTAACAATAAATATGATGTAACACAATATGTGACTGTTGATGAGAAAGATATTAAGTGTGAAGAGTTTGATGAAAGTTTTAACAGTAACTATGATGTGACACAACATATGACTGTTGATGAGACAACTCGTAAATGTCTAGAAAGTGGTAAAACTTATAACAAAGAGGAACAACTAAATGAACAAATAGTTGTACACACTGGTGAGAAGAATTTCAAATGTGAAGAGTGTGGTAAAAGTTATTCCAGAAAGGATGATCTGAAGAAACATATGGTTGTACACACTGGTGAGAAGAATTTTAAGTGTGAAGAGTGTGGTAAAAGTTATTCTACAAAGAGCCATCTGAAGCAGCATATGGTTGTACACACTGGTGAGAAGAATTTTAATTGTGAAGAGTGTGGTAAATGTTATTCCAGAAAAGATTATCTGAAGCAGCATATGGTTGTACACACTGGTGAGAAGAATTTTAAGTGTGAAGAGTGTGGTAAATGTTATTTCAGAAAAAGCCATCTGAAGAGCCATTTGATTGTACACACTGGTGAGAAGAATTTTAAGTGTGAAGAGTGTGGTAAATGTTATTCCAGAAAGGATGATCTGAAGCAGCATATGGTTGTACACACTGGTGAGAAGAATTTTAAGTGTGAAGTGTGTGGTAAATGTTATTCCACAAAGAGCCATCTGAAGAAGCATATGGTTGTACACACTGGTGAGAAGAATTTTAAGTGTGAAGAGTGTGGTAAATGTTATTCCACAAAGAGCCATCTGAAGGCCCATATGGTTGTACACACTGGTGAGAAGAATTATATGTGTGAAGAGTGTGGTAAAAGTTATTCCAGAAAGGATGATCTGAAGAGCCATATGGTTGTACACACTGGTGAGAAGAATTTTAAGTGTGAAGAGTGTGGTAAAATTTATTCCAGAAAGAGCTATCTCAAGAGCCATATGGTTGTACACACTGGTGAGAAGAATTTAAAATGTGAAGAGTGTGGTAAAAGTTATTACATAAAGAGCCATCTGAAGGAGCATATGGCTGTACACACTGGTGAGAAGAATTTTAAGTGTGAAGAGTGTGGTAAAAGTTATCTCAGAAAGGGCGAACTGATGCGGCATATCGTTGTACACACTGGTGAAAAGAATTATAAGTGTGAAGAGTGTGGTAAATGTTATTACAGAATGAGCCATCTGAGGCAGCATATGGTTATACACACTGGTGCAAATTTTAAGTGTGAAGAGTGTGGTAAATGTTATTCCAGAAAAAGCCATCTGAAGAGCCACATGGTTGTACACACTGGTGAGAAGAATTTAAAATGTGAAGAGTGTGCTAAATGTTATTCCAGAATGAGCCATCTGAAGAGACATATGGTTGTACACACTGGTGTGTAGAATTTTAAGTGTGAAGAGTGTGGTAAAAGTTATTCCAGAAAGAGCCATCTGAAGTGCCATATGGTTGTACACACTGGTGAGAAGAATTATAAGTGTGAAGAGTGTGGTAAAAGTTATTTCAGTAAAAGCCATCTGAAGAGCCATATGGTTGTACACACTGGTGAGAAGAATTTTAAGTGAGAAGAGTGTGGTAAATGTTATTACATAAAGAGCCATCTGAAGAGCCATATGGTTGTACACACTGGTGAGAAGAATTTTAAGTGTGAAGAGTGTGGTAAATGTTATTACATAAAGAGCCATCTGAAGTGCCATATGGTTGTACACAATGGTAAGAAGAATTTTAATTGTGAAGAGTGTTGTAAAAGTTATTCCAGAAAGGGGGAAACTGAACCAGCATATGGTTGTACACACTGGTGAGAAGAATTTTGAGTGTGAAGAGTGTGGTAAAAGTTATCTCAGAAAGAGTGAACTGAAGCAGCATATGGTTGTACACACTGGTGAGAAGAATTATAAGTGTGAAGAGTGTGGTAAAAGTTATTACATAAAAAGCCATCTCAAGAGACATATGTCTGTACACACTGGTGAGAAGAATCTTACTTGAAAGTTGTAGGGAAAGATCTTAGAGAAAATGATCTGGAGAAGTGTATGGTCTTACATGTTGGTAGGAATTATTTCAGGTGTAAACAATGGATTATTTATTTAAATAAGAAGACCAATTGGAAATAATCATCTGATGACTGTGTTGGTTATCCTTGGTCGAACTGACTTACTGTTTGCCATTGTTTGTATCCCTGCACTGCATATTTGTTGTATACTTGAACTGTATATTTGTTGTATACCTACACTGTATATTTGTTGTATACCTGAACTGTTTATTTGTTGTATACCTGTTCTGTATTCTTATTGCATACCTGCACTGTATATTTGTTGTATACCAACACTGTATGTATACATGCTCAATCTTTGTAAAATTGTGTGATGAATTTACTGAATAAATATATATATGTATCTGTCTGGCTGTCTGTCCAACTAACTAATCACACTAGCAAGTGAGATTCACAAAAACATTGGTCTCTCTATTACAATGATTGTATTTCTTTAACCCTTAGATGGCAGCAGGGGTGCCTGAGAGAGCACCCAATAAAAAAGTTGTCTATACAGTATATGGTTGCTGATGACCAATGAAATTCAACATAAATAAAGATTCCCCGCATAGTGAGACTTACAAGATGTTGTAACACTTACAGTACTATGTGTAGACTCTCTCTCTCTCCTTTATATATATACAGTATATATATATGTATATATATATATATATATATATATATATATATATATATATATATATATATATATATATATATATATATATATATATATATATATATATATATATATATATTTATATATATATATTTATGTATACAGTTGTACCCCACTTAATGCTGTCAATAGAACCCAGAGGGTCCTGCGTTAAGTGAAATCCGCGTTAAGTGAACAACAGAACATATGGGATTAATTCCAATAGAAACCAGCCCGACCCCCAAACTCCACTTTTTGAAGACACATAACTATGTTGTAGTAAAAATAACATCTTAATTTTATGATGGTACATGCACACAATTAATACTTAAGAGAAATAGAGAAATACAGTCGCCAAGTTAATGTCCATTCAAATAATGGACACGACTCCCTCCCCCTCTTCTCACACTACACTGCCGGCTCTTCCCTCTGAGAAATTTTGGGGGGAAAACCAGGTATAGTAATAAATAATACCTCAAACTAAAGTTAGGATAATATAATTGACATTGCTGGATTCCTTGTAAGACCAGGAATATTTTGAATATAAATGTCATATATTTTGCACAAAAGATAACATAGTTACCCAGAGAAAAAATGTTATCTAAAATTTGTATGTCTAATGCAAAATATATGATGTTTATATTCAAAATGATCACCAAATTATAAGAATTCCAGCAATGTAAATTATATTCTGGCCGGGTAATTTGTATGAATTTTATGAGCTAAAACAAATATCTTCAGTTAATAAAAAAAAAATAATCTTCAGGACACTATTTGTCAATCAAAGTACCCCACCTTGCCTTCCCCCTCTTCCAACCGCGTGGTCAGTCCCAACCCTCCCCCCCACCCCCCACCAATCATCCCTTCAAGAGAAGAGTGGGTGAAAAATTTAGATTTTAACATTTTGTATTAAATAATACCTCAGATTAAAGTTAGGATAATATAATTGACATTGCTGGATTCCTTGTAAGACCAGGAATATTTTGAATATAAACGTCATATATTTTGTACAAAAGATAACATTCTTACCCAGATTAAACATTTTATCTAAAAATTTTATGTCTAATGCAAAATATATGATGTTTATATTCAAAATGATCATCAAATTATAAGAATTCCAGCAATGTAAATTATATTCTGACCGGGTAATTTGTATGAATTTTATGAGCTAAAACAAATATCTTCAGTTAATAAAAAAAAAAAATATTCTTCACGGGGAAACAGATGGTCCGGTCGGTCCCTCCCAACCCCCCCCACCCTCCACCGTCCCAAGGAGATGTGTGGGAAAACCAGAATACTTAACTTTTTTGTAATAAATAATACCTCAAACTAAAGTTAGGATAATATAATTGATATTGCTGGATTCCTTGTAAGACCAGGAATATTTTGATTATAAATGTCATATATTTTGCACAAAAGATAACATAGTTACCCAGAGAAAAAATTTTATCTATAATTTGTATGTCTAATGCAAAATATATGATGTTTATATTCAAAATGATCACCAAATTATAAGAATTCCAGCAATGTAAATTATATTCTGGCCCGGTAATTTGTATGAATTTTATGAGCTAAAACAGGCAGTCAGGCAGGGTGGCGGGTGGGTGGGGCAAATCTAAAAATAGCGTCTCGAGCCGAACACACACTCACCGCGTATGTGGAAAAAATCCGTGTTAAGTGAAAGTTCAGCTCTGGCGAGGCACCGCGTATATGATAAAACGCGTTAAGTGAAACCGCGTTAGGCGGGGTAATAATGTGTATATATATATATATATATATATATATATATATATATATATATATATATATATATATATATATATATATATATATATATATATATATATATATATATATATATATATATATATATATATATATATATATATATATATATATATATATATATATATATATATATATATATATATATATATATATATATATACTTCATTTTTAGTCCATATAACACGCGGTAAAATGCTACTGACACCACATAAGAGGCACGGGCAGTTTCCCATTGAGGTTCACGGCGCCATCAGCTCGATGAACAGGCTTTGTGTGAAATATAACAGAGTCTAGAACTGCTTTTAGTGTCCTTGTGGCCTAGCCGGTAAGCGTTCCCTAGTCACACCCAGTAGGTCGAGGGTTCGATTCCTTGCTGGTGAGGTCGTTGATAATATGTATATATATGCAAGTAAATCAC